GCTATAATAAAAACAAATTATTTATTTATTTCAAGTACCTATTGTTAATGTTTGTTGAATTACCTACAACAAAATAACTAAAATTGTTTGACAAAAACTGTTATTTTACATTTGAAGTTCAAATTTCTTTAAAATTGTACATTAAAATTGTTATCGTATTGAACGTTTGTTAAAAAAAGAGTATTGACCATTTATTTTTGTTATTTTTTTCAGCTGCTATAAGAGAACAATTTTTAAGAATCTTTTACGTATTACATATTCAAGCATTTGGACAGAGAAACAAAGGTTCAAATTAATTTTAAAATATCATTTATCAACATAGGTACATTGAATAAAAAACTGATTTTGCAACTAATAATCAACAGCCAGTGTCTCAAGTGAATATTTTTTGTTGTATAATCCATAAGTGACCCGGACATGAAAACATCTATCCTTATAGAGTATGTCTTCTTCTCGAGATCCTCTCCAGATTTATTTGCTTTAACTGTCAATTTCCAACAGGTCGCCGATCTGCTCCAATCTCTTATGATGGGTTCCGACCCATACAATTAAAACGGCCACCTCAAATCCGTGTCTGAAATCTATATCAACCCTTAGATCGCGATCATTAATCATGCTTTTTTTTTATCATTCCGAGTATTAAATATACTTTTTCGACAAATCCATCACTCAAGCTATATTTCCATAATCGTTATTGGTGGTAGGCATGGATTTAGGAGTATAGGTATTTTTTAAATACATGTTCCATTATGAATAATCAAAGTGACAAGTTGTTATTCAAATTTCAAACCGAGGTTAAGATTTTGGTACAGCCAAATATGCTGTCAGTAGAACGAGTGTTATAATCACTGTAATCATGCCTTGGTATACTGCAGTCTGCAATGTTATAAAACATCAGTGCCATGGTAAAGCTTATGTTTTAAAAACTTTTATTTGTAATTTTAAACATATATTACACGGTTAATCAGCTCGTGTTTTCGTCGTCGCGAGTTATACGGTTCTTGTGTCACCCTCGACGATGTATATAATATAATACTATACATTAAGTTTAAATTATACGGTAGGTCCCGTGTTCGCGAAAAATTCCTTTTAGGAGATATTGTACACTTCGGTGACGTGAGAACTTTTCAACACTTGTATAGGCACTATACACAACGACCTAGCTAGACAACGAACAAAAAAAAAAAAAAAACATCTTCTAATGTTTATTATTATAATTATTTTTTTCATGCTCGAGGTATGTTTTTCTCTTGTTGGCTTATTTTTCATTCCGTTTTATATCAGACTGTGCGGCGTGGTTATGAAACTATTGTTCGTATTAACAATTTGTTCTTTTTTCTTCGTTTCTTGCTTTCATAGAAAGCCGTATTGGTATTCGTCGTTTCTTCTCGATGTACATTTGCGCACTATTATCATCTGCACGTCAACTGAAATATATTTTTAAAAAAAAAACCATCATACAGTAATGAATGAAATCGGAACACTAATTAAAGAAGTCTACGCGTCTCTTCCACATAATGTAAAAATATTAAATGTTGTCTCCGTCTAAAAAATCGTTCAACATGACAAATTTGCAGCAGAGTGACAATTGACTATTATTATCAAATTTATTTAAAGGTAAGCATTTTAGATCTAAGGCATCTCGTGCTATCATATTTCTCGGATTTCATCAAAATAACCTAGCCCCCCGAAATTTAGAGCCTATAGTTACATCTATGGTACAAACTTCAGTTGTAACATAGGTAGGTCTATTCATACTTTGATAGGTATCAAAGACGGAGACAACAGGCAGGACTCCTCTTAATGACAGTATTTTTTTTAATTAAAAAAAAAAAAAAGATTTTAAATATGTACAACTAAAAAATCCCATATTGGCATATTGCTAAATAAAATATTATATTATATTCCTCGTTTCGCTAAATAATCAACATTTTTAAGCTTGTTAATTTTTTTTAAGAATTTTTTGTTTGATCTGAGTTGAAATATCATTAACTTTGGATTAAGTTGTCGTTTTATTTTATATTACCTATAGATATTCAATACCTAAGATATTTCATTAATACACATTGCGAGTGTTAATATAATTACGTTATATTTTCGGTAGGTAGGCAAAATGAGGAAATTGTTATTTTTTGTTTAAATCATACAATTGACAATGGTTAAGTTTTAATACATCATATTATACTCTACTACCTCATATCTGATTTCCAAATAATTAAGAGCCTTACGAATTATATTTAAAGTTACTGAATGAAATTGTATACATTAGTTTAGACTGTTTAGAGGTACTTGTTATTATGCATTTTACTATTGTCTATTATTGTCTATTTTTATATTATTATACATATATTTTTTTAATAAATAAAATTCAAACATCATATAATTATATTTAAACGCAGTAGATTAATACATTTATACATTAAGACAAGAAGAATAAATTAACAAGGTATTACTTCTTTTATTTGTATTTGTAATTATGTAAGTTAAGGTGTGTATGCCGCAAGTGGTTTTGATACAATTCTTTAATGAGATATCCATATAAAATATTTAACCGAAGGCTGAACCTCTTGGTTTCCATTTAGAAAACGGTAACTCCTAACAGATAGTCACCAAGGCAGCGTTTAGGCGTAACCATCCGTAACTAACCGTCCGGCTTTATACCTACCTAACCATAAAATAATAATATAATATTCAAACTTTGTGAAATTGACCACGCGGTAACCCCAAAGTTACGTTTCTCGGTCATATCTGCAGTTACAAGGGGCAAATTCATATTAGCAGTCACTATATAGTCATACTGTTTGTATAATAATATTATTAAAATTTTATTTGGTAAGCAAAAAAGATAAAAAAAAACGTCGGCTACGCTATAAGTAGAATGTGTATGTGTTGTAGTTATAGGCGCACTCAAGTACCTAATAGCATATTTACTGGTTGTTATTTTTAATTCTTATTGATTTTATAATGATGGGAATTTTCTTTTAATTTTTAATTTTTTTGTTTGTTGTCACTTGTCCGTCATCACATCTTTGAGCAGTAAAAATGTTTCAACATCAATATGTTTTCTAGCAAGAAAGTGCATCTAGTTAGTACTTTGATGGGTGGAAAATAAAAATTCCTTGTACCTAAACTTTTCTTAAAAATTGAGAAAAACAAATTAAAGAGTTATGGGAAAACGAAAAATTTTAACAGGTTTTGACAAATTCAATTATATTATTTTTATGAATATAGATTAAAAAACGAATAACCTCAGGTACTTGAAAATAGAAATTCACCGAATTATGTTATCATTTTTTTCAAATAGTAAAAAAAATGTTCGATGATAGAGTTTCGTGTTATTGTGTAAAATAAGAGTTTATAGAAATCACGAAATATGATAAAATATGTAATAATATTATAAACTATCGAAAATACTATTTTTTTCAGAATCTCTGAAACGTATCCAACACTTTTCCAAGTTGGTAATACTATATATACATTATAAATACATATGTTGTACTTACATATAATTCCGAGCCCGAACGGACATACTGTTATATTATATTATACTCCATTATTATATTATATCCAGTGAAGAAATGTTCGTGTATATACGTCATATTCGTATACAATAACATATATAAGTCTGGATAGGGGAAGGGGAGGAGTTAAATGAATTAATCCCACTTACGTGGTACCGATAAATGCCACGTCTGTCAGCCAGTCGCACGCTTGACCGAGTTTTGTGTTGCAAGAGGGTAAAATGAATGTTATAACGCTCCCTCTGTCACACACACAAACACACACCCACACACCCACACACACCCAAACACATGATCCTCAAGTCCGATGTCCGAGTAACACACGATGTCTGTGTAACAAATGGAAGGACATTTATGCTGCGGCGAGATAGGGGTAGGATAATATGTATTATATTCGTCGGATGAGCATTTGCGCGTGCACGTTCGTTTTTCACAATTTCGCGATAGCCACACCGTTGATCACTCGTAAGCCAAACGAGCATTTATACAATTATACCCTTAAGTTGGTATTTTACACAATATTTTGTCCAAACGATCTCAGTTTACTGCTATTAGCGAGGACTAAGGTTGTAAGCTATTCCTATTTTTTGTTCTTCGTGTTTAAATACGTAATCCAAGTCCATCAACACGTCGAGTTAAACTTTGTGCGGAACGCAGCTTTAGCGAAAAAAAAACAACTCTTACACCGTAGAAGTATAATAATATAATATCATGTATTTATCTAAAAATGCAATATAATGTCTTAACATTATATGTTGACGACAACCGCAATACAACATTAAAGTACTAAATTATATTATACGATAAACTGTATCTTTTTTTAGACTAAAATATACGCTGCGATAGCGGAAACATATTCAAACTTAATCTATCTAGAACTTTTTAAAACCGAGGAATTGTTAACAAAACATGAGTCATTTTCGTTTTTTTATAATAATATTATAATATTACAAACTGTAAACAAATTAAACTTTCTACATATACCCACAATAGGTATCCATATAGTTATAGTATACAAAATTAACCTTATGATTGTTCGTTTTATAATTTATCAACTAAGATTTGTGTAATAGTATATTATGGGTAGGTATATTCGTTTAGTATGTGACCTACCGATTGAAAATCGAGTTTAGTATATGACCTGGTGACCTACCAAGACGATTATCAGCTATATTATGTACGGGTATGCCGATCCATTGATAGGTGAGATACATTTAAAAAAAATTTTCTGTACAGTAATTCTGCATTATTTTATAATTGTATTAATAATTAATTAAATAGGTAATTATTGAAATCATTTTAAGATATTTTATTTGACTGGTTTTAAATTAATTATCGGTCCCGTAGGTCACATACTAAATAAATACCATATTATGTAATAGTACTATATTATGTGTGATTAGTATAGTAATTTCGTGATAGTGAACCTATGAAATAGTTTTACTTTTGTTAATTTTATTTATGTCTTGACATATTTTTCTAGGTACGCCTCACATTGGATTTGATTTTTAATGGCAATGGAATGTCTTCTTTAGTCGTTTCTTCTAAAAATTCTGTATAATTTTGTTTGGTTTTGAGCAAAGCTTGTAAGTCATTAATTCTAAAAAAAATGTCATAGATAATTATTTTGTTAGTATTGTTATCGCTATGATCATTATAAATATTAAAATAATTAAACGATTATTGATATTACGCTTGATGGATTATGGATATTGACTAAATATTATAAACTATAAAATATAATATAAGTTTGTGAAAATAAATTAAGTGTATTTTCGATTTATTATTTTGGTGTTATATTTCAAGTTTCTCACCATTGTATTATTCTGTTTTTTTTTGCTATTTCTTATACAATTTTAAACCTTAAATACATTTAAACACTATTTTAAAGTATTTCAGTGGCGTATCTAGGATATATTATATATTTTTTTATTTTTTTTTTTTTTTGGGGGGGGGGGGGAGTAGTTGTACTGATAATTTGGTTCATAGGTAAGACATAATACTAGAATTCCTCATATGTTAGGGATGATGATACATGATATGGGCTTATAACATTTCAGACTTTTGCAGCAACCGCTTCAAACAAATCACAATTTTAATATATGGTATTTTACGAAACACTGAAAGCATTTTTAAACTTCAGGGAAGTAAGGTTGTATGGTTCCTTAGCCCCCCTGGCTACCAGACTGAAGTATTTTAAAAGATTAAAAATGGTCCCATGTCAGTAGGTAGGCCGTAGATACCATAAATGGTTCTTTCGTAATAGCGAGATTCTACATATATTATAAAAATAGTTTCGCATGGGACAAACTTAAGGTGACATTATTTACAGTTGTAAAAATATGAAAAATGTTCACACTACATAGAAGATAACTAGTTAGTGCAATAGCTTTTTTATATAGATTGTTTTTGCAATATCAATATTGACTATTTTCTTAGGAACAAAATAAAAAAAATTAGTCTTTAAGAACAAATGATTTGGATTATCTTAAAACCTCCACGACATATTATTAGGTATTCTATTCGACCAGTTTTTCATGACCATCGAGTCAACCACAATGTTGTGTAGGAAAAGCCACGTAACCCTTGCGCACACGTTGGCCTCCAAAGTTTCTTCTTAACGTGACTAGAGTATAGATTAAGTTCTTTTCTACCTATAAGTATTGTGGACATTTGGCAAGGTGAATACTGTCTTCGTAAGTTTATCCTGCGCAACGCCATTTTCATCGATAAATTACGGGTGGTTAGGCGTCTTATTGAGATAGCCTATATAATAATGTAGTATATTATCATTAACTATCGGTATCTGGAGTAAAGTAAGCAACCTAAGTATGTGATCCTTTTGCAAATTGCATAAGTAGGTATCTACTGCGAGTTCTTGGAAAATCAACTCATGTGTAATTTACTAGTGCAGTAAGTGCATTACGATAATTAGAAAGTTTTAAAACGTTACTTTAGTAATATAACGGAACTCGAATATTTGAAATATCAATTCTGTTTTCATCAATAATACCGCAAATTCACATGAGTAAATACCATCATTGCAAATTCTTGAATCTTGATATATTATGTTTTGATCTATTAAATAATAATAGATTGCAGGGTGTAAATCAATATATTTATTACTGTTCTCGCCTCGTAAATTATTTCGTTATGCTTACCTATCATCCTTCAATGAATATTTAAATTAAAAAAGAATGTATTTAATAATTTTAAATAAAATAGTGTGCCGATAGAATGTGATTTGATTATTTCAAATATTTATATTATATAAATATATCGTTATTTTAATTTTAGCAAGATATCCATATTATTATCTATATTATTATTGTAAAGAAGGAGCGCACATTTTTATATTTATTTACATGCGTAAACTAATTTTGTACTGAATTAATTATACTTTTGATTTATTTACCTATAATATTGTAAAACCAGTAACCACTATAACGTATTTAAGTATATCAAAATATTAGACAATTAAATATGTAATGTATACGTCATATAATTAGATACTACTAATTAATCATTTTCTTACCGACTATTTCGATTACTTACTCTTGTTCATTGAACGGCTTGAATTGATTTGGCAGCGTCTTAGCATTTTGCTCATTTAGTATTTGACGGATCATTTCTGTAGCCGCGTCCTCTTTGGCTTTTTCTTTTTTCGAACCTTTGCCTTCAACTATACAAACAAAGCGGAATTAGAATTTTAAAAATCGGTTCCATTATTATGACTCGATGTGTTGATTATTAATCGTAAATTATATTGTTCGTTTTCAGTATAGTCCTCTATATAGAATCTGGAACGGTTCAATTTAATATAGAACGATTTTCTTCCGTTTACTACTCGTTTATCCGATGTCTGCAGGTTATCAAATTACAGCTCGGAAAAAAAAAATAGAAGAAGCAGTGCGTTTAAAAATGTTTTTATAAACTAGAATAAAATATAGGAGAAACATTGTTCAAACCATCGTGCAGGCATGATGGATGAAATATCTAATTGGTAAGAAAGTTAATTCGTATTCGTTTGTCTGTGTGCTGTGTTTAAAATAGAAAAACTAGTTGTTTTTCCGGAAAATTAATTGGAAAGTAGACGATTGCGAAAACGAAAAAAAAAATCAGACCCGAGAAATAGGACCCGAATTTCTTTCTCTAATAAATCGCGCGCTGTCTGCGAAACGAAAAATTATAATTTTTTTCCCCTCGGTTTAAATCGAAATAAAAAACGACCGGATGATTACTGTTTGAATAAGTGTGTCGCGTTTGTGGGTCTTGCTGCAGTGGCAGTCGCAGTCTATACCTACCGTAGAGTCCGTACAGAGTGCAAGAATAGTTGTATACGGTTTTGTAGCTGGTGACGTCGGTGCCGATGATTCGGTAAGTCGGCTTGACATCCGAGTCGACGATTCTGCCGTTCAATATTTCAAAAGGCGACCAGAGCACGGGGCCAGCTTCTTTATTGCTGTGGCCTTCGTTCTGCAAACCGACAACAGCGCAGTGCATTATAATATTCCAGTGAACCGTCGAAACGGTTAAATCGTTTCGTACGAACATAAAATGATATATAGTAATAACAATATAGTAAAATATCGATGCGAGTCGTCCTCGCTGTTCGGATTTCCAACCCCCCGGCGCTGCAGACACGGTGCATTATGCCGACCTTACATTCGAATCGCGTCCCAAATGCAGTTATCCGATTGAGCGATGCCTCCTATACATAGAAACGTCTATATAATATAATAATATAGTCTACAAACAATATATTCATGCCTAATAATTAAATGCTGCGGTGCATCTCGCGCTAGACACACTTTGTGTAGGAAAACACTGACTTTTTTGAAAATATTTCTATTAGATATAGGTAAGAGTTCGAGTAGGTATTATTAAATTAATTTATGTAATACACATGATGGGTACTATTTTGTTATCGTTCCGCCACCGAACCGTATAGATGAGATAATTAAACATCACTGCCCACCTCAAGCTTTTTATTTTGGATACAGGATAAGAATGGGAGGCGAATAGTATGCATCGCATACTAGTATGCAATTCATACTAATTGCATACTAAATATTAGCAAAAAAAAAATCGTCATATTTTGTGAATTTCATAATATTACTAGCTGAATATCCTGGGGGGTGATTCTTGAAAACGTGATTAATTTATCGCACGTGAGATAAGTCATACATTTTATCGACAGTGACAAATTTTTATCGCATGCGATGTATAATTGGTATTCTTGAACTGAAATCGATAAGATTTTATCATTTGTCGAATGCGACAAAGTAATCTAATGAACCACTGTGGTAACATCAAATCTAATCAATTTAAACCTCAAATAACTGATAATTAATAATTTGCCGGTAATAAAGCATAGAGTAATTACTCTATGTGATAAAGTTATTAAAAACATTTAAAAAATACTGAGAAGTGAAAAGTTCTAACTTCTAACTACCTAATAGGTACTACGGTCTACAATTGTTAATAATATAATAATTATTAATATATTACACACAATGGCAAAATCGAGGCCTACAAAACATCAGATGAAAACGCTCGTTGAATTGATGTCTAATGACCCAAAATTGAGTGCTGGAAAATTTTCAGCAAATTTCACAAAAAAAATTGCTAAGGCAAGATGGGAGGACATTGCCATCGAATTAAACTCTCTACCTGGCTGCGAAAAATCAGGGGATAAATGGAAAAAGGTATTTAAAATGTGTATTTAAAACAATGGAAATTATAGATTAAACTGTTTATTATTTTTGAGGCATGGCAAGACACTAGGGCAACTGCAAAAAATAAGGCTTCAGCAATCAAAAGACATATTAATGGTACTGGAGGAGGACCTGCCACTAATTTGGTAATGTCAGAGGCTCAAATGGATAGTATTCCATTAATGAGCCAAGTGGCTATAAGTGGTCATTTGAATTCAGTGGAGTCCGCTGTATCATTTAACTATGAAACACTTTCAGAACAAACAACATGTACGAACATCTATAATAAAGATGCAGAAACAACAGAAGGTACAGCTAAAATATTATTTTGTTATACTAAAATAAACCAAAAATGAATTCTAGATGATTTTGGTAAAACACTGTATTTAATATTGAATTCAATATTAAAAAATTACCTTCAGCTACATATTTTGTTATATTTTTATTATATAGTTGTATTGTGATTTATGATATAGATCCCCAATTTGAAGATTTGCAACTGGACATAAGTCATTTTGATGTAGTTATTGAGAACAATCAAAATTATGGTAAGTCTATTATAACAGTTATTATTAGTTTGTATTATTTACCAATTTGTGTTATATAGTACCCAATGATGTTGATGATTTATCACCCAAGCTTGTAGAAACTGGACAAGAATTGCAGTTAAAAAGTGTACCTAAATCAAGTAATAATTTCAACATTTTTTATACTTAGCTCTTGAATTATTATCAAACATTATTTAACTAATAATAATAATATAGGTATATTTCTTGTAAAATTTCCAATGTATATTGATAAATGATAATACAACTTAATATTAATTAGAATAAATAGATGCAAACTCCCCTATTAGTGGGTATAATGCTTGTGATGGGGATGAAAAGTGTAAGTTCATTACAATCAAAGTTTTATAAAATGCATAATATATTTGCATACATATTAACAAGTAAATATTATTAAGACCATTTGTATATAGATCTTGAAGTAATGGTAAGACACTAGAATTATTCCAAACATGAGAATCATGTGTGCTTCCGGGAAACAATGCATTAACATTTAGTATTTTCAAATCTGAATCACAAATCTACAACATTATGTAAATACAATTTAAATTTCAGAAAATATTAACCTATAACTCAAACATATTCAACGTTATAAATTAAATGTGATATTTACTAGTTGGACATTTATAGAATGGTAGCATTTACGATTTACATAAATGTACTCAGGGTGTTGGTTTTCTATTAAATTTAAATTTGAAGATGGTGGTACTAATGCAACATGAGTGCAGTCAATGCAACCAATAACTCCTGGAAATCTTGTTTTCGTATAAAATCTAAAAATATCAATATTATAATAAAAAAACGAAGACAAGAAAGAAAGATTATTTTTACTTTTTTCGAACTTGGTCAAGTTCGTATATATTTGATGGAAACTTAACCCATAAGTTGAAAATATCAGGATGATTAAGAGCATTTACAACTTCATTTATGCATCGAGATACAGAAGATTGCGATAGAGCAGTAAATCGACTATGACCCATTGGTGTTTGGTAAGAACCAGTGCCAAAAAAGTGTAATGCAACGAGTACCTACAAGATGGTAAATACAAATATCAGCTTTGAAACGTACTTTGTAATTTGTCAACTATGTTATAAATACTTTGAATATTCATACTTTTGTTTTTAAATCAATTGCCGATGAACGATTAGCGTCTTCAATTAGTGGTCTTAACATTTCTATTAACTGATTTGCAAGATATTTTGATAATCTAAAACTTTTAACAAATAATCTGTCTGACAACATAAATGGATCCATAGGTTTTTCTTTCATCATCCTGACATGTTGTATCGCGTTTACTTGATCTTCAATATTATTAATTAAAAATAAATTTGCGTATAAATTGTCCATTTTAGGTGATCTTATTTTAGGTACCTACTAATTAATATTCATATTTCATACTTCATTATTATCAGTTGATAACAAATAACAATATAAAATAATCTAGTCGAATATTAATTACCTTCGACAAAATCTTGTCACTAATTTAATCGCAGTAGACAAATAGTCGAATCGTTTTTAATCGATAAAATTTTATCATTTTTCAAGAATATCAAAAACTGTTTTTCCTGCGACAAATGCGTTAGTCACTTTCGATAAATTATGTCACGTTTTCAAGAATCGCCCCCCAGGTGTCTTCGCCCTTGTGCAGTTTTTTTTTGTGTGCCAAATCCTATTTAGTATATTATATATTTATGCTATGCGTAGGTGTACCTCGGTATGAGTGCATGTGTGTATCTAAGTTTTAGCAAACCTCAGTTCACGGACAAATCGCGGCGTCAGCGTACCTATAGTTTTGTGAAATAATTTGACCTAGATGGGAAACCGCAAGTCGCGGGCGTAGCGCTCGGTTTATTTGTTAACGTGGTTTAAATAATCTACTTACTCTCTAAACTTTTCTGATATCTCTAAACACTTGTTCGAAAAGCTCTTCAATAAGCGATTCTTTCTCACTAGGTCTCTACATCATAATATGAAACTACTGAGTACTGACAAATAATATGTCATACTCATAGTTTTGGCGATTCCAATATTGGGCGATGACGAATCAGTCAGTCAGCACTGGTTTCTACTATTTCTATATAATATTATAATTTGGAACCGATGGCAACCATTTATATAAACAAAAAAATGTTAGAAATAAACAAAAATGCAATCGCGAATCTCGAAATTCTCCCATTCGAGCTCCTCTTTAAAACGAGAATTTTGGAAAATCCTTTCTTATCGCACATCTAGACCTGGGGGAACCACTATTGCAAATTTCAAATCCGTACGTTTTATAGTTATTGAGATGCAGTGATCAGTGAGCGAATGGTATTTGGCATTAATAAAATATTATAATATTATGGATCATACGCTTCGTCATCAGAGAAATTCGTCATATTTCGAGAGAAAAAAAGACCTCTGTTATCGGTCCTATACAATTACATAGTACACACAACGCACACTCATTATTGGGGCTATTACAGATTATCATTACCACTAATACTATATTATAGTTATATTGTTGTTATTGTTCGCTCGAGTACAATAATAATAATAATAATAATAGGTATTGCTATTGCCTATTTGTATACACGTCATCCGAACGAGTGTTTGTCACTGTCGCCGCGGTTGGCGCATTATTATTACGACGAGCAAACAATATAATTATTATGACTGTGGAGATACGTAGTACCCAAATCGTGGTGGTCGTCGCCCCTGCAATTACGCCCCCCCCCTGCCCCCACCACACTGGATTGTATGATTGATAATAATAATAATATAATATAATATAGGTATACCTACAACCTACTTTAGTATTATTATCATCATTGTTCGCAGCCGTCGTGAATCGGACTCTCGCGTTTTTGTCAGCTGATCTGCGAGGGATAAAACATCTACAATAATGCACTTCATGACTATATTATGTGGGCAGGTGCCAGGTCACACCACGAAGATTAGATATATCTCTAATCTTCATGGTTCACTCCGTCCACGATATTATAGACCAGGGGTCTCCTAACTTTTTTTACGGTGGCCCGAATTTGAGATACGCTTTGGCCAACATTTCTAGAGGAAAGAGAGGGTTAAGAAATTGAAAAACCGATAAGATTTATTTAGAAAAATGTATGTTTGCTCACTGCCTTTCCCTTGAGCTGCACCGGCAAACGGTCGACAGTCGGTAACATCAAGTCGGGCGCGGATTTCCAACCGACCTCTGTAGGTGCTCCTAACGTTATAACGCGCGTTAAAGCGGTAAATGGCTCGTCGGTGGGCTGATTACAAAATCACGCGAAGTGAAAATAACGCTTTCTGTTTGACAGAGCCTTTGAGCAAATTCTTAAAATATATACGCATTTATGTGTCTGCTGGCTTAATTAATGTTGACTAAACGGTCGTAATGATATCAAATAACAACGATGAGTACAAATATCACTACTGACCGAGGCGTGGAGCTGGTGGAGTTGAGGGGAGGAGTGTTTTGGGTGTTACACAACCACCCATGACCCATCCACCCATAGTTGTGTTTAAATAATATATTATATTAAATTAAAACACCCCTATTTGAAAAATCCCGGTTACGTGCCTGATTATTGTTGCCTTGTCGATCTCGACCCGTCGTGGCATCTTCCGAGAAAAAAATACGGTTAGTATTGATCTTCTAAAAACGGAAAATTTAATCGAAAATTGGATTTCCCCGTAATCTTGGTCTACTGCGAGCTCGTTTTTGTTTGCGGATTGCGGGTCACAGCGACCACGAACACCGAAGAGCGAACAGGACGATAAGGAAAAAAACTTTATTGCGAAAATACAACGGCCGAGTTTTTTTCCCGATCCCGAAAACGATCACCCGGATTGTCTATATTATACACGCACATCCCACAATATTATAAAGAAATAATCTTAATAATATGTATAATATTATCGTAATTCGTACTTCGTAGTCTTCTAGGGCAAACTGTATCTTTGGTCTCGAGTGGTGGTTTTGATGGGGAGGGGGAGGTAGGGGTCGGAGAACTGAGTTCACGAAATTATGGTTTATCCACAGAAAAGAGGTCTTATCATCGTGAACGGCGGTGTGGGAATTTGTGCGCTACAGCTGAGGATATTTTGAAAATGACTGCGGGGTGGATTCAGTAAAAATTTAGGTCCCTAGTTTTAGTATGGCTTAACTTTTTTTACAACAATACCTACATAATATTATAATGAGTTCCGGTTGTATATTAATGTATAATAATCAAACATAATATTTCAATTATTACATGTAAGTACTATTTGCTGTGAAGCAACTACTTTTTTTTCAATTATATCGAATAATATCCGCCGAGTTAATAAAACGGTTTTATTTCCGGGATGAAAATATATACTTATGGGTAAATGGTAATCCAATTCTTAAATAATTTCAAAATAACGATACTAGTTCCAATATTATATACTTAAGTTATAAAACAAAAATATAATATTCGTCAAACGCCAACGATATTTTTTTTTTAAAAAAAACGTAAATTAATGTTTTGTGGGTCTTGGGAGTTACCCCGCACCCACGTAAGCCACCCTCTGTCTTATAGTCTATACCCTATTAAGCTGTATCGTACACCTACGCGACTTAAGGAAGGAGTATATTATATCATTACTATACCAAATGTACCTATACAGACACACTGTTCAAAGACTGTATATTAATCAAACCGTTTATATATGGCAACGGCGCACAGGCCGTCGAATGGCTCTCGAGCTTGCGAAAATACCACCACACCAGGTATTAGGTAACCGGTTATCTTCGTGCAGACACGTAATAACGATGGATATTATATTATAGGTTATAGCTGCAAGTTTGTAACATGATGTCTTAAGTACCTTACAAGATGGTTAGCTTCACCCTAACGGTTACGGTTTAGAGACGACAAGTCGCGTACTTATTACATACACAACACTATTTAGTTAATAGCGACCAATCGATTCCCAGGCAAAATATTATATATTATTGCATTGTGGTAGTGATAATATTATTTAAATACACTCATTGTTCCAAAAAAAACTTTTAACGTTCTTAAAACAATTTTTTTGCTGTACATAATTTTAGGACGTTACAAGACATCATTTTCGAAAAAATAAAAATTATATTTGAATCGCTATATTTTTTTAAAAGTTTTTTCCTTTTGCTTTTTCGGATGACAACATACATTTTTGATTTAATATTTCAAAGCAAAACGAAACAGGAAGATTTTGATAATTATAATACATAATAGTTTTGAAAATTCAAATTCCGGACGAGTTGTCGATAAGTGTTTAAAGTTTTGACACGCGAGCGATATGGAGTGACAGAGTTAGGGGTACCCCGCAAAATGTAATAACTAAACTAATGACGTATAAAACACTCGTTTTCAAAATTTGATTTTTATATTATAATAACTCCAAGCACTCGTTCTATATTCTGCATTGGAATTAAAAACGTACATTATGTCGTCATTAGAAAAAGTAAAAATTTAAAAAAATTACAACAATAACTAATACACGGTAAAAGATTACATTTTTTTTTTTCAAAAATCTCGTTTTGCAACCATAGACCTTAGGAATATGTTATTCTGAGTTTAGGCCTTTATATGTTTGTAACCGGCTATTTTTTATTACTTTTATGTCAAACAAATATTTTCAGAACTGACGTGTGTTGGTCGATAGAATATAATCACCAACGATACACCAACTATAATATACCATTATAACGTAGTACAGGTGAGGCGTACCTATATAACGTTCCAGAGTTTACATATTATATTAATAATATTATTACACATATCATTCGACACCGACGATTCTTATATAATATAGTCGAGGGAAACCATAATATATCATACGATTTCTACATAATAAATCCACACGTATGTGCGCGCGTTACAAATGTGTGGGTAGGTGTGCCTACATATTATTATGTATGTATATTGGCCTCGGGTTGATTGATGGTCGGTATGTTTTAGAATTTTTTTTCCCTTTCAGGTAGACTCTTTCTGCTCGCATAAAAATAATAAAAAAAAAGAAAGAATATTAAAAATGAATGAATTTTTTTTTTTAACATTTCCCATTGCACCGTATTATCTTCGCACCGCTCCGCGGTCGATGTATCCCAATATCGCCTTCGCCGCCGTACCTATATCGTGGTGAGATATTCTGTCGGATTTTATTCCGATCATTGTTCCCATGAAAATTTAATCCCGCTCCGATATCACGGTAAAGGTACAATTTTTTGCGGATCGAATATTACGCAGATATCTGATAAATATAACAAACGTTGCGTTTTGGCACTTATATAATACTGCAGGTAGTGCCAGGTACCTTACTGTCTTGCACGATTTTCCGAAGGTCATGATGGTGGTCAAGATTCTAAAAGGGTTATACGGTTATTAATTTTAGTTTTTGATTTCAAAATCTGTTCATATGTATTGACTATGATTAATAGGCGAATGTGATTTTTGAAAAAAAAAAGATTTTATTCACCGACCGAACATAATATCCTCCCATTGGCAGTACTTTGAATATGGTCTTCAAATCGTTTTATAAATTAATCCAATATGATAAATTGTAGTCGTTTGTTAAAAAGATAATCGAAAATTGTATTTTTAGACGGCGTTAACTACTCCAGCAGTCGAGTTTACTTCAAAATCAGAATTATAAAAATTAATTTCTTCCACAAAAAATAACAGTCGTTATTGGGATAAGTCGTTATAATATTATGCTATTGTGTACAGTGTACATATTATATTAAGTGAAATATATGCATGCCTTTGTTCGAACATGATATACAATTTAGGAAACTGACTAAGTTTAACTGTATAAAACGATACATTTTTTTTTTTTTTTATTAGGAATAAATAGGCTTCGATTGCTTAATTTCGTTAAAGTTTTTTCGTTAATGTTCCCCATACATTTTAATTAACTTTTTTAATGTAGACCATCAAAATCGAAACGAACATTTTAGAGCATTTAATGGCATAAGAAATTAACCATTTAGTATTTTTTTTTTCGTTTTTATAAAAAAAAAGCATATTATTAATATTCCATTGGGGTACTACTTCAACTGTTGGTTTGAATGAATTTGCAATACGATCATTGGTTTTGGTTTTGAACGCTATAATTTGTTCTAACCCATTAGAAAGTTTTTAAGACTGTGCCGCAGTAAACATCACGTCGCTTTGCAATCTGTTGCTGGGATTAAAGTTAAATTTGAATGGATTTATATTAAAACTTTGCATGCGGTGATTAATATTCTTTCGAATAACAATATTTTTCTTGGATAATATTTAATTTAATAATAGATATTTATGTCCTAAGGAAATTATTGTTTTATTCGAGTTTCTCGGTTCGTATCTTGAAATAAAAATGCAATCGACCGAAATGTGTGTAGTTTTTAAATCCGTTCGTCGTCTTTTTTTTTATACCACCGGTGTTTCAAACTTTCTATACCGCGGTTCTGTAGGCTTTTAAAATGGATTTTATAATATATTTATTCTACATATGTACGATAAGTACTCACGGGCAAGTCTTAAATGCACTAAATTGGCAACACGTTAAACTGACTTCAACTGAGATTTTGCTAAACTTTTAATCTGAAATTCCGTTATATTTTATTTCCCAGAAAGTTTACCAAAGTATATTGAAATAACGAAAAACACAGTAAGCACTACGTTGTATCCACGATGTCATCCACAGCACGAATCAAGAGACAAACAAATTTATTTCCAAGTACTTTTATAATTTGTTGGTTACGTATTGTCTTGGAAATGGATTTTTTTATCGAATAAAAAGTGTAACGGGGAACAATCAAAAGTCAAAACGACAAGCTCCTCCGTAGATGTCAGCTGTTAATAAGCAAATGGGACGAATAAAGCTAAAACGACATTAGTAGGTACATTACGTTTACATTATTGTGTTCTCTATTTTATAAAATTGTATACTTAAGATTCGGAGTACGATACGAAATTGTTGTTTAAAAACAAAACGATAATCCCGATAACGGAGTTTAATTAAAACCGAATTAAAACGAAACGTAATAATAATAATATGTTGTTCTCCCCACGTTGTACCGTATTAATATCCTCGTACTCCCCTCCCCCCGTGGTTAACCACCATAATTCCAGATCATTGTTATAAATACCTACGCTTTTCGTCTCAAGTTCGGCGAGTTCAAACCTAAATCTTGGAATTTCAAGAGAAGTTGAAATTGGTAGCTTAATACTACGTAATTGACAATATAGTACCATAGGTACTGCAGCATCCGAGACATTTTTAAAGTCAGAGCACATCATGGATGTTTGACTTTTCATAAAAAAGTTGCGCCAAGTTACATATACAGCCGGGTCTTTAGAGTTTAAAAATTGTAAAGTCCGTAAAGGTTTTTGTAAATTTGATTACAAGTTTTTACTCGAACAATTCATTGTTACATTCTTACCTTCGTATCTCTTTTCTTTTTTGTCATGTTTTTTTTCAATTCCAAAGGTATTGTATTCGTCTTGAACTCTGACAACGTAAATGTTATGAATGATAAAAAAAAATAAATAACTAAACACGTTTCGATATTTCAATACCGTCTAGAAACTTGAAGTCATTCGGGGCATTTATCGTTTCGACCACTGAATTATATCTTTCGGTGACGGAGTCTATGGTTTCACTAAATAACTGCACCCTTCTCCTTTTCTCGACCAATGCTTTTTGTCGAACATTTTCTCGCTCTTCGTTTTGGGTTTCTGAAAAATGTCCACCATAATATTATAAGCGAGCGCACCACCTAGAGCGACATGCATATTATGTTTGGTACCAGCTATCGTATCATATAAATATAAATAAAAAATGTGTTTACTATAGTCGTCGTCCATTTTGAAAAACCTCGTCCTGTTCAACGAATGGTCCATTACCGAGTCTGTTTTCTCCATCGTTAGCAACTGTCTGAGCCTGGTAATTAAATCATGAGCTATTTCTACTCGGTCCATTAAATCCTCCATCTCCTCATACTTTTCTCCGGTCGCATAATCGTCTAATAAAATAATACGTTTGTTGAGAATGTCTATGTATAACGATGTGTGTATACATTTTGAATCGGCTATTTTATAACATCGAATAATACGAATAAATAATTTCAAACCATCGAGTTTTTTTTTGAACCGTTGACTGTCGACGTACAACTTTGTAATGAAGTTGTTGACCGTGATAATCACTTCCCGTTTTTCGATTTCGTACGATTCGGCGTTTTTCGGATCTTCGTGGACGTTATGGCCTTCCCATATCCTCAACTGATGAGTTTGACGGTGCTTCGAAGACGTTCCACAGACGTCTTCTGGCTGAAAACGAACGACGATTAATAGGTAGTAATTGCATTATATTATTAGAACCGGCCTAAACACTCTAAACACGAGATCGATGAACAGAAACGTCAAGTCAAACATTGAATAACGAATTTTTGATTATGTCTAATAAATAAACTATAATATAGCTAATATCAGCGGTCCTCAAACTTTTTTCTTCGTCAAGCCCTTACGTTGCTAAGGACATTTTAAGGAGCCCCAAACGCCCAGGCATTTCGAATGCTTACAAAATATACATAACTCATCATGAATAATGCATATTAAAAAAGATTTGCTTATTAATTGGTTTCTTAATCATAAACAACATAATATATAGGTTTTATCCATCAACCAATTCGCATCTAACATCGTTTTGGACTACAAAACAAAATATGCGGATTATTATTCATAAAATAAACACGATAAAGCCAATATTATTTTATTTTAATGTAATTCAGATATTATGTCCAAGGAATAAGGATAGCCCCTGGATTACTATCGCAGTATCGCGGAACGCATTTTGAGAACCTCTCTCTGGGTTTCTGTAATATTATATAATACACGTCTTAGTGTATTGTATTATGTCAAAGCTTTGATAAACAATTTATATAGGTCACGAGAAATGAAACCGAGAATAGTGGTTAATTTGTTTTAATTAGATCGAAATAAATTAGCGCATTCATCTCAGTATTTTAGGCTGATGTCAATTCCCATTACTAACGATGGTTATTATTTTCATCGTCGTAGAGATTAAATTGGTGGACTGGTTCCATGCGCATTGTTTCGTCAAGTTTATCCTAGTTAAATTAATTATTAAAACTTCAATAGCTATCTAATTACGATGGTTAAAACATTTTACTGTTAATTGATTATTCGTATATTTCTCTTGCACTAAAATAACAACTGAAGTGTGTTTTTAATTATAAACTATTTCACATATACGTTTCTTAAACCAATTTCGCGTTGTTAGCTTTAACAGTGGAGTAAATTGACCAATTACAAACAAACTTAGAGGCAAAAATATTATACTATAATTATTGTAATTTTATAATTATATAATATTAAGCTTTTATTTCGGTTTTCATTTTAAAGTGAGTTGTAATAATTAAAATTTTTTTTAAAATGAGGTACAATAATAATTATATATAATGCACATATAACTCGTTTCAAAATTAAAATATCAAGAAAAACCTACCTACGAAGTTCGCACCCTAGATAATATTCTCACTCTTTGACGATATAAGTCCATATTTTACTCTAATAGTGAAGCTAACAAATCGAAATTGGTGCTGTTGAACTTCGTAAGTCCTCTCAATGTATATGTGTGAGAACTGACAAGGTATAGATAATTATTGCAATATAATATATAATAACGGAATGGCCCACCTCATCAAACGCTTCAAGTTCGTCGGTAGTTCTCACCGATGTTTTTCGACTTTCCATTTGGGAAACGTCGACGACTTTTGATACCTATAATAGTATGATAGTAGAAACACACTTTCGCCGCCAACGCCGCGAACAAAACTTTCGTTGTACCTAACTCGAACAGTTCTAAAAAAAATATTATTTGCTCTTTTTTTTTCATTGCTTTGTACATGCGGCGGCGGCGGCGGTCGTGTCTCCATAGTGACAGTTTTTTTTTCACTTCTAGTTTTACGTATGACATGATTAATGCCTATAACACTATACATTGGAAATAATAGCATATTTTCCGAGAGCAATAATTGACTGCTATGGCGGTGGCGGGTACGAAAAGAAAAATGTGAAGGACGGACTCGCGTATTGTCGTGTATAATATTATATGTTTGTCAAATGGAGCGGAAAAAGTCTCGGTCGGGACACACACACTTGCAGGTGTGTGTGTGTGTGTGTGTGTGTGTGTCGAAACTTTTTCAGTGAAAAACACCTTACACTTGTTAATGACCTCCGGAAACAATGTTTCTGTACGAGTGTTTTCCTCCTGCCGAGTGTTTACTACGCCGACTATACAATACAAGTTTCCCGAACGCAATTTTTATTTCATTTTCATTTTGATTTACATTTTTTTTGTTTTGTTTTGTTTTGTTATTGTTTTCGTTCAATTTATTTCGTTTATCTGCAGGTTGTAATAATCCCCGTGCGTAGTCAAATAACCTTCAATTGCACACGGACACTTAAAACTTTTTGACTTGCTGCTTTGTATCATTCCTGGAATTTGTACTGCACGACAGATATAATAAACGTACCTGTGTAAAAAAAATAAACGACGATAGAAAATAAAATGTATTTGTAACCGCCGATGTGCTGCCAGCTGCAAGATCTCCGGGCGCGTTTTTCCAGTGCTTGTAGAGACGAAATATGATTAACGAAATCAACGAAAAAGGTTTGATAAAAAGTCGTACCAAGTGCATTAAAAATAAGACATTAACCCTTCAAATAAATTATCGGAAACGTTGGATAGTGGTTATATTTTTAACGAGTCACTTTGGCTGTTACCAATAAGTACCAAATCCAATATCTTGAGGGGAAATTCGGCTCTAGTTTTGAAAAGGGTAGCGTAAAATCGCTCTAATTGACCACTACATTTTGGAAAACAAGCGGATTTCGGTGCTGGTACCGCGCACCAACTATAGTACAAATATACGTGAAGTTCGAAGAGAAAATCATGCCCCCTCGGCCCCTCCCCGCGGTACAGTAGTTTGAAAATGTTACCGATGAATAGAACTGATTTAGCACTAACTATTGGTTTTATAGCGGAAATTAATTCTCGATTTTTCCCTCCAACTATTCAAGTACCTCTTTATATTAAAATCCCCTTACGCTCCTTTAGTGGGTCGTGCTGGTTTTTCCCTCCGGTGGGCCCTATATTTTATGATTATCGGTTTGGCCTTGTCTAAAATAATATCTGTAACCACCACCATCTGATCTGACTGAACTCAGGAGTCTCAACATGTCTGCTCCAGTACCTATAATCTACCTATAATCATACTTAAAACTTAAATATTAAATTCATTCATCTACCCGATTGAAGTTGCCACAGATATTTGTTTAAATTATTACCTAGAAATTGACAAAAACTCAAAATCAAATCAAATTATGACACTACACAGGACTGCAGATGAGTATTTTTTTTGTTAGATATCTGCTAATTAGTAATTAATAAATTGTATTGTTATCAATTGAGTAACAATGACGAGTGTACATGGAGTGTCATGGACATCATCAATAGTTTTAAAAACGGCATAAATTGAGTTTATAATCTAGTTATAATTAGTTTTCGGATTTTAAAGCAATAAAAAAACCAAAGAAAAGCACTAAAAAAAGCAATAAATCTGTCTAAATCTTAAAAAAAGCATTAAAAATGGGTTTTTTTTTTGTAAAAAATTCAACTTAACAGCAAAAAAAGTACCTAAAATGCCCAAAAGAACAAAATACAAAGTCTTGCATTTTATTCTAAGTAGTATAAACTGAATTTGTAGCTGACATAGCTTCGTTTTAAAGTCAATGCCTTCAAAATCCGTACTCTAGCTATAATGTTAGAAATTATACAATAAAAAATAAATATTATAAAATGTACCGTTTATTCACTTTTATACCTACACAAAAATAAAGCTTTTATTTGGAATTTAAATAAATATTTAATACTATTATATTAGGAAAAGTGTTAAAGTATTAAATACTATTTATTATTGCGATACATTTATTATTTTATTAAAATAAATGCTTATTGTTATGATTAGAATTTCTAGAAATTAATTGATCTGTTGTTGACTAGGTATATTATATGTTTGAATTTATGGTTCATAAAAATAGGAATTTTTCATAAATTCGTTGGATTTTTTTGTATTACTTGTCGAATATTATTGCTATTTAAATATAGCGATGACTGTACGACTGTTTTTATGAGTAAAAATATATAACGGTCATTGATAATGTTGTACTCGCACATCAGTAAATAAAAGTTACATCCGAATTGGTTACCAGTTTTAAAAGGTTACATTGGAATTGATTTTTGGTTTTGTTTCATAGAGGTGCATTGGATTTTCTTTCATCTAATAATATTTTCCATTCCATTTCACTTATAAAAAATTAAATTCTACAGCAATGGACTAAGTCTACTGTAAGTATGTTTTTTTGTAACTACCAAAATCCATTTTACGTTCGAAATCGCCCTAAGGTCTCAATATAGTCCATATAATATAAGCTTGAGTTAATATTGATTATACAATATAAACAACTCATATCCGGTAGCTTATTGTTACATCTCTATCTAGCGGCATTTCCTTAAAAAGTATCGTCAGTTAGAATGAAGTGCGTACTTATAGATATTTTAGCAGTTTTAATCGATTTCAATTTCGATTGATCAAAAGTCAGACTCAACTCCTCTATACCGCTGTACATATCTCTTTCTAAGATTTGTTACATAGTTGTAGATTTTATTTGGTATTATAATATATAGATTAATAAGTCATAGGTACATATTTTTGTTTTGTGTTCCTAAGACCTAAGTCGATAGCGTGAATTATATTTGACTGTTATTATAATAAAATTTGTATTTATAATTGTCATCGCGACTGTTGATAAAGTCCGTATAGAACATAATATCTACAATGAAAATGCTCTTTCATAAGTATTATTTGTTTGTTTCAAATAGTTCATAAAGTATCTACACTATATATAAA